TCCTCGAGTGAGGATAAAAATAAATAAATAAATAAATAAAATAAAATGGGGGAGAAGAGAAACTCTTCCTTACAGCAGAATGTCACTTAATATAAAATTAATGACATTAAAAAAAAAAAAAATCAATGGATGCTGAAATGAATGGGTAATGGGTAAAAGTTTGAGGAGGAATAATAGGATATTTATATAGTCTCAAGCACCTCAATACAAATTACTTTAAAACTACAAAAGAAAAAACAGTCACTTTTCAGAAGAAAAGATGGTAGATATCACCTTAATCAAGTGATCCAAGTAGAAAAATCACCAATATGGGACAACCAACATCATGTGCCTCCAGATATGACATGCTAAGAACACAACTTTAGTGGTATTCCAGCAAAAAAAATGTATAAACTGAATCTATTTATGAGGAAATATCTAATAAAAACAAATTGAGAGACATTCTATTTTTTTTTTTATCCTCACCCAGGGACATTTTTTGCCTTTATCTTCAGATAGAATGGAAGAGAGGGGGGTGAAGAGAGAGAGAGAGAGAGAGAGAGAGAGAGAGAGAGGGAGGGAGAGAGAGAGAGAGAGAGAGAGACATCGATATGAGAGAGACAACCGGGGCCAAGAACAAACTGCAACCAAGGTACGTGCCCTTAGTGGGAACTGAACCCAGGACCCTCTGGTCCGTGGGCCGATGCTCTAATTGCTGAGCCAAACTGGCCACGGTGAGACATTGTATTCTTAAAGAATGTAATTGAAGTCTTCAAAAAAGTCAAGGTAAAAATATACAAAGAAAGGCTGAGGGATTGTTTCATATTAAAGGAAATTAAAGAGAGACATGACAGCCTGGCCGTTGTGGCTCAGTGGATTGAGTATCCCATGGACTGAGACATCCCGGTTCGATTCCTGGTCAGGGCACATCCCAGGTTTTAGGCTCAATCCCAAGTGGGGGATGTACAGGAGGCAGTCATTCGATCTCTCTCTCTCCCTTCCTCTTTCTCTCTCTCTAAAAAAAAAAAAATCAATAAAAACATATTTTAAAGAGAGAGAAAGAGACATGATAGAGAAATGCATTTAGGATCTTGCAATGGATCTGGACAAGGAAGATAATAAAAAGGTTACAGTATCTTTTATAAAGATATTATTGGAACTACAGTATCTTTTATCAAGATATTATTGGGACAACTGTCAAACTATGAATATGTTCTTTGGATTAGGTAATAATATTGTATAAATTTTAAATTTCCTGATTTTAACAAAGAATGTCCTTGTACAGTATTTAGAAATGTGCACTGAAATATTTACAGATAAAGAAGCACAATGTCTCCAATTTTCTCTCAAATATTTCAGAAAATATTCATTTAAGTGTATATAGAGAAAAAATGATAAAGCAAATGGGGCAAAATATAAACAGTTGGTGAATCTGAATGTGAGGTATATGGGAGTTCTTTGTATTATTCTTATAATTTGTCCTGTATGAAGTTATGTCAAAAAAAGGGTTCTAGTTAAAATAGAAATTTAGAAAATGAAAAAGCCAACCACCTACAATCCTATCATTCCAATAAGTTTCCTATATTCATTTTTTCTTATTGCTCTTCTAGTGCTTGTTTACGAGCACACAGACAGTTGTAATCATTACATGGATACAATTTTTACTTCAAACTTTTAGCTTCTTATATCACGTAGACTTTTTACCTGTTGAGTTAAACTTCCAAGACAATTAGGGCATTTTCCATTTAAAAAACCAGAGCAACCCAAATATGCTTCAACCAAGGAATAGACAAACTGTGGTACATTCATACAAATGGAATAACACTCAGCAATAAAAAGAAACAATTTACTGATACACACAATAACATGGATGAATCTCAAGGGTAATGTGTTAAGTGAAAGAAAGGCCTTTTGATCCTATTCACATGATATTCTGGAAGGTAAAACTATTTGGACAGAAAACAGATCAGTTGTTGCCTGGGGCTGGAGTGTAGGGAGAAAGGTAGGATATTAAGGTGAATGAGAAATTTTGGGGGTTGATGAAACTGTTCTGTATCTTGATTAAGGTGGTAGTTATATGATTGTATGTTTGTCAAAATTTGCAGAAGTGTGCACTAAAAAAGGTGAATTCTACTGTATGTATATTATTAATTTAAAAATGGAATAAACAAAACAAAACCAAGTTGGGTTTTAAAAATAAGTTTCATTTAACAGATTACAGAATTCAAGTCTATCCTCTGTATCATAAAAGTTCCCCACTTACATAAGACAAATAGGATGTTATAATACAAAGTCAATATGCATATTCAAAATTGGTCTAAATTAAAGTTTAATTGTCAATTAAATGTAACTGGTCATAGTTCTTAAATATGACCTCTCCTTTGCATTTTCACAACTCTTGTTGCCGCACTAAACATTTCTTATCCACACTACTATAATTGCCTCCTAAGCACCTCTGGCCTCTGATCTCTCTACCATTCAATTCAAAATAATGTCAGACTGATCTACCTTACACACAATATAATCACATGAACTTTTGCTACAACTTATATTCTGTAGGATAAATTCCAAATTCCCAAGCATAGCATTTGAATCGTTTTAAAACCATGATCCAATCTCCTGTCACTTCTACACTATTGACTCTGCCACTCTAGCCAAGTACAAACAAAAGAAATCTACTCTCCACCCATACAGTACAGCCACTCACTAAACCTCCTTGTATTTTCAAATCCCTGTACAGGCCTGGAATGCCCTTCCTTTATCCTTCTGTTGGGCAATCCTAGTCATCCCAATTCAAATTTATGTTCTTCAAAATAATTTCTTCCTCTGGGCTTCTACAGCATTTTGAAAAACATGTTATGTCTGCCTTCCCCACATACTCAAAGGACCATACTTGGGGGCCTAAGCATGTAGCAGTTGCTCCATCAAAGTTAGCTAAATGACACACTAAGCAAATCAGATCATGTGCAATGGGTACCTTAAAATGATTTTGTTTGAAACCAAACCACAACCTCATTTTGAAACTATATTTGCACCATCAGAGTTAGAACTGTTTTCCCAACCCTGGCCTCTGGAGTGAGTTATGTTTATATCACTAAAACTGTCAATATCTTTAAATATTTCAAACCAACTTTTGTCATTAATATATTATCTGTTGTTTTTTGTTTTTGATAGTTACACTAATATTCTGACTCTGGTAGTTCTTCATAGTTTGTCTTTCACTGAGGGTTTTCAACTCCAAATATGAACAGGATGGAATTCCAGAGGACTGTGCAGAACCAATAAATCAGATTTAGGAGGAAACTTAAAATTCAATTTCTTAACATCTTTTTTTTTTTATTTAGTTAAATAAACAGTTACCCACTATGAGAGAGATCCTCACAGCGGTGGGGAGAAGTCAAGTCATAGTCTTAGGCCTCAAGGATTTCATATAATAAGGGAGATAAAAACAAACTAGATATACTGCAACTAAACCAAAATTGGATAAGGACCCAAGAGGTACAAAGTGCTGTGGATATTTAAAGGGAGATGGTACTCCCGAGATGGGCCTTAAAAAAAGAATTTTCACAACAGAAATGGTATTCCCGGCAAAGAAAGAAGAGTGAAAGGACAGACAGAATACACTCAGGCGCTTGCAAAACATCAGGATATAAGGAATTCTGTTAATAAGTGTTGCATATCCTTGTGGAACCAGAGTGTGCAAAAATAATTACCAAGAATTTCAGGAAAATAAAAAGGAACCAATTAGTGTTGAAAGCTACAGCAGGATTAATGAGAATACATATGAAAAATAAAGTCAAGGACATGTCACAATTTCACAATCAGATCATTGGTGGCCTTACCTGACCTCAGTGATAACTTCAGAAACTAAACTGTAAGATATTTCAGCATGGAAAAACAAAGACGGCTCAATATAAAAGGCTCATTGTAAAAAAGAAGAATTAAAGCAAGGATAAAAACAGACTATTTTAGAATACAGAAGACCTGAATATGTTTGCTGAAAGAGGGAAAGGAGTCAGTGGAAAGGCAAAAATGGAAGGATTCAATAGGGAGAGGGTATATGTACTTAGTTTTTGCAACAAAGTTACTGGAAATAAAAGCATACAAAGAGGAAAGTTGGGCCTTGGAAAGGAAGAGGGACTTTTTCCTCTAGGAAGGAGGAGCACTTCTCAAAGAGAAGAGAGGGATCATGAAAGGCTTGAAAGGGGGGAATGCTTAGAGATTTGAGGAGCATGGGCATTTGACAAAAACAGGTAGAAAATCAGCAAGAGACAAATAAAAAGGATTCTAGCCGCAGTGAGGAGGGCTTAGCTGGATTATGAAGGAAATTTACAGAGGTCCAATCAGCATGTTTGATGACTTTCTCCAAATGGCCTGAGAAGCTATGGGGAGAAAGCATATTGTAGGAAAGGAAATCAAAAAGTGACTTTTTTTTAATCCTCACCGGGCATTTTTCCATTTTTTTGTTCAGAGAGAGGGAGAGAGAGAGAGAGAGAGAGAGAGAGAGAGAGAGAGAGAGAGAGAGAGATCAACTCGAAAGGGACACATGAGTGGCCACCACTCACACGACCCAACCAGGGCCGGGGACAAACTGCAACCGGGGACAAACTGCAACCGAGGTACGCGTCCTTAGCGGGAACCAAACCCGGGTCTCTGTGGACCGCAGGCCGACGCTCTCACCGCTGAGCCAAACCAGCCAAGGCAAAAAGTGACTTTTCTAAATTAAAATTACTCAGGTTGGCAGGGCTGAGACAAGTATCCAGCCAGCTCCAGCTTCTAGTTCCGCACTCTCTTTTGACTATGCTGCCTCCTTTTTTAACACAATTTTCCTAAGACTTGTTCACTTTAAAGCTAAAGGCCAGTTTTAAAGTTTTAAGGCTGTGCTATTAAAGCAATGTAATGAGATAACTTATTCTTTGAGTATTAAGACAATAAAATTAGGACTTTTTACATGTAAACCGTCATCAGCTGTGAAAAGTCAGAAGGACTCATTGCTAGACAAAACCCAGAATGAAACTTACTTGGCAGCCTTGGGAAAACCCATCTTGTAAATTGTGACAACTACAGCTCCTCCAATGCCTAAATTATGCTGCAGAGCAACCTTTGCACCAGGAACTTGTCTTTTCCCGGCTTCCCCTCGCAGCTGCCAGCAGAGCTCAGCGCATTGAGCCAGACCTAACAAATCGAACACAGAGCAGTCACATTCTGTTGCTTTAGGAAAGCTGCCCCAACAGCTAACTTCTTAAACCACACAAGGGCTACTGACGTTTCATTGTGGATTTAATTAAGCCAAGTAAACATTTGCTTTAATAACTTCTCTTTAAAGAACTAATGGTTCTGCATTTAGTTTTCTTAAGTAATCTCTGTATTATAACAATATACAAACTTAAGAAATTCTCTGAACTCTTTAAATTTATCCAACCTGTTGTTTTTCTTGCCAGGTTAAGAGAAAACACTGAATATAAAATAGCTCTTTGGCCCAGGCAAAAAGGCATAAAATTAATTTAACTAAGTTTACCATTGTTAAGTATCATAAGAAAATACTCTAGGATTTGGGAGTTCATTTTCCCTAAAATCTATAGCTGGTGTGGTGAATTTTCCTATTATTTTCCCCAAATAGTTCACAAGAACCAACTGTTTTCCAAATGTATATATATATAGGTATTCACAAGAATAGTTCTAAATTTACAAGAATAGTTTTTGTCCCCTAAATAATAAAATCAAAGATTTTCAGAGTTGAAAATAACTTAATCACGTAAGCACTGAAAAACTGTAAGATTAGAAAATTTGTGAATAGTTACAAAGCAGACTAATTCCAGAGCTGAGATTAGAACCCAAGTCTCCTGATTTACATTTGTTTATCTTCCTACCACACCAGCTAGCTATTTGAGCATATAATCAATTCCTGGGGTTCAGAACAGGCCTCTCAAAGATGTGTCACTTTGGCATGTGAATTATTTTGAGCTGAAGGCAATCAAGACCCTACAGCAGTGGTTCTCAACCTTCCTAATGCTGCAACCCTTTAATACAGTTCCTCATGTTGTGGTGACCCCCAACCATAAAGTTATTTTCGTTGCTACTTCATAACTGTAATTTTGCTACTGTTATGTCTTAGGCGACCCATGTGAAAGGGTTGTTCGACCACAGGGGTTGCGACCCACAGGTTGAGAATGGCTGCCCTACAGGCTCGTGAGAAACTTTCGCCTCTCCCTTAAAGAATTTAAATCAGGCCCTGGCCAGTTTAGCTCAGCAGTTAGAGCGCTGGCCTGCGGACCAGAGAGTCCCGAGTTCGGTTTCCGCTAAGGGTGAGTACCTCAGTTTCAGTTTGTCCCTGGCCCCAACCACCGTGTGGGTGGCAGCCACTTGATATGTCTCTCTCACATCAATGTTTCTCTCTCTCTCTTCTTCCTGCTCTATCTGAAGATAAATGCAAAAGTGTCCTTGGGTGAGGATAAAAAAAAAAAAAAGAATTTAAATCACAGGCCTTGTCCAGAATAAGAGTTATCACCAGAAATAACATATTTGACCTATCTATATGACAGGAAAAACTACTAATCACTGAACATCTGCTCTTCTTAATGTCCTGCAATGACCTTCTCCTCTGAAGCCCCAAGGCAACCTCATTCCTTAGCTCAGAATATAATATATACTGTATTTTCCCTTTCTGGCTTTGAACGCTCATATATGTGGAGTCTGTGACTCATGTATATGAGGTTTCCATGTATATGTATGTAATTAAATTTAGTCATTTTCTCTTATTAATCTATCTCATGTAGATTTAATTATTAGACTAGCCAAAAGAACCTTGAAGGTAGAGGGAAGTTTCTTGCTATCCATATGACAAAGCAGTATGTTCCTATTTAAAATTATGTTTATAAAGTTTTTGTGTTTTTTTTTTATCCTCACCCGAGGACATTTTTCCATTTTTTGTTCAGGTAGAGTGGGAGGGAGAGAGAGGAGAGAGAAACATCGATGTGAAAGGAACACATCGAGTGGCCGCCACCTGCACAACCGACCAGGGCCGGGGACAAACTGCAACCAAGGCACGTGCCCTCAGCGGGAACCCAACCCGGGTCTCTCAGGACCGCAGGCCGACGCTCTAACCGCTGAACCAAACCGGCCAGGGCTATAGTTTTTTTTTTAACAATTTAGGAAAATACTTATAATATCATCTTAGTTAAAAAAAAAAAATGCAGTGAACCAATTAGGTATTCATCTACCCATTCATCCAAAAAAAATTTACTGAATGTCTATTTTGTGACAGACATTGCCCAAGGCTCAGAAGATCCAACAATAAACAAGATTGGCATGGTCTTTTTCCTCATTAAGCTGATAATCTTGAGATACAAAAATGCAGGCATTTAAAGTACAATCTTGAGGGAAGAGATAAACCAAAGGATTTATATGCATATATGCATAACAAATGGACATAGATAACAATGTTGGGGGGAGGGCGATAAGGAGGAGGGTGCCAATGGGGGGAAAAGGAGAAACATCTGTAACAAAAATAAATTAATAAAAAGTAAATAACAAAATAAATATGATAATGCTACCATAGGCCAGGTGCTACAAGCACAGAGAGGAAGAATAGCTCTCATAGCTTGGTGGTCAGGGAATGAATACCAGAAGAATGGACATCGAAGCTGAGCTCCTATGAATAAAAGGAGCTAGCTAGGCAAAAAGAAAGAATGCTTTGTGAAGAGAAATGAGCATGTGCAAAGAAGCAACATGCCTGCTTAAGGAAAAGAAAGTTAAGTGAATGAGACTAGAGAATGCTCAAGACAGCCAACATGAGAGTGAGAGATAGGGGAGAGGGAGGGAAAGAGGAAAAGAGGTGGGGGAGGGAGGGGAAGGCAGGCAGAGAGGAAGATAGGGATGGGTGAGAGGGGAGGGAGAAAAGAGAATAATATGAATAAAGAAAAAAGGCATTTACAGGTTTTACAATAATTTCTTTTTTGCTTATTAAATTTTTAAATGTATCTTTTTTGTTGAATGTATTACAGATGTACAGATGTGCCCCCTTTTCCCTCTGCAATAATTTCAATTACACCATACAACTGACATTGTAGAGGATGTGGTACACTGCAATACATCTTTACTCATGATTTGCCTAACTCATATATGGCAAAAAAGAAGGGAGGAAGAAACTCAACATCCATATTATCAACTAATTTCCTTGTAATTTATTTGCTTTTGACAAAAGATGACTGTCTGTGAGACAGCATACTAATTATTTGAGCTTTCTGATTGTCTACCTTCAGAATAAACTGGTGTTTCTTGTATTTCTAAAATCTAGACCTGACCTGTGAAATCTAGAAGTCAAAAGTTGAACTCAGAAATCCACTTACCAAGAAGGCATGGTAGACAGTTATAAAAGCATAAACTATTTGAGTGTATTTTTTTTTTTTTTTTTTATCCTCATCCGAGGACATTTTTCCATTTTTTGTACAGACAGAGTGGGAGGGAGAGAGAGGAAGAGAAAGAGAGGGAAACATCGATGTGAAAGGGACATATCGAGTGGCTGCCACCCGCACGACCAACCAGGGCCGGGGACAAACTGCAACCGAGGCACATGCCCTTAGCGGGAACCGAACCTGGGTCTCTCCGGACCGCAGGTGGACGCTCTAACTGCTGAGCCAAACCGGCCAGGGCGAGTGAATTTTTTTAAAATTTCCCTTCTTGTAACTTCTGGCACTAAACTGAAAAACAATAATTTTCCTCTGCTTGAAAAAAACACAATAAACTATCAAGCATGAATGTATTTATAAATTGTGGACAAGCAGAGGAATAGGCATCCTGTCAAAGTATGTGTAGTATATTCAAATAGTAATGCCCTTCCTACAGTCTCTTATAAAAATTCTAGAAGAAAATGTAGGCAACAAAATCTCAGACATCATACGCAGCAGAATTTTCACTGACACAACACCTAAGGCAACAGAAACAAAGAAAAATATGAACACATGGGACTACATTAAACTCAAAAGCTTCTGCACAGCAAAAGAAACAACCATCAAAATGGAAAGGGAACCCATTGTATGGGAGACCATAATCGCCAATGATGCATCAGATAAGGGATTAATTTCCAAAAGATATAGAGTGCTCATACAACTCAACAAAAGGAAGACAAAGAACCCAATTAAAAAATGGGCAGAGGACCTAAATAGACACCTCTCTAAACAGGACATACAAATGGCCAAGAGACATATGAAGAAATGCTCAACATCACTAATCATCAGAGAGATGCAACTTAAAACAACAATGAGGTATCACCTCACACCAGTCAGAATGGCTGCCATCAACAAATCATCAAACAACAAGTGTTGATGAGGGTGTGGAGAAAAGGGGACTCTAATACACTGCTGGTGGGAATGCAGACTGGTGCAGCCACTATGGAAAACACTATGGTGTTACCTCAAAAAGTTAACAATTGGCCCTGGCCGGTATGGCTCAGCGGTTAGAGCGCCGGCCTGCGGTCCTGAGAGACCCGGGTTCGGTTCCCGCTAAGGGCATGTACCTTGGTTGCCCTTTGTCCCCGGCCCTGGTTGGTCGTGCGGGTGGCAGCCACTCGATGTGTCCCTTCACGTTGTTGTTTCTCCCTCTCTCTCTCTCCCTTCCACTCTATCTGAACAAGAAATGGAAAAATGTCCTCAGGTGAGGATAAAAAAAAAAGGAAAAGAAATAATCCAATAGAAGACAGAAAATAAAATACTAAAAATTACCCAATTAAGCCTGGCCAGTGTGGTTCAGTGGTTGAGCATCAACCCATGCACCAAGAGGTCGCTAGTTTGATTCTAGGTCAGGACACATGCCCAGGTTGTGGGCCTGATCCCCATTGCAGGGTATGTAGGAGGCAACCAATCGATATTCTCTCTTATTGATGTTTCTATCATTCTCTCTCTCTCCCTTCTTCTTTTTCTCTAAAAATCAATAAAGAAAAAAAATTCTTTTTTTAAATTACCCAATTAATAATAAGATAGCATCAAAAAGATAAAGGAACCAAAGAACAGACAAGACGGAAAACAAAAAGCTAGGTGGCACATTATATTGTAACTACCTGTGTGTACATATCTTACTATCTCTTACTCTCCATCTACTAAATTATAAGCTCACTAAATTTGAGTGATAAACATAAATAAACCAAACTTCACTGCTATAATAAATGCAATATTAATTTTAACATCTCACCCTGGCCAGTATGGCTCAGTGGTAAGAGCATCGCCCGCGGACCAAACTATCCCTGGTTCAATTCCAGCCAAGGGCCCGTACCTCTGTGGCAGTTCGTCCCAGCCCCAGTTGGGGGTTGTGTGGGTGGCAACCAATCAATGTGTCTTTCTCACATTGATGTTTCTCTCTCTCTCTCCCTCCCTCCAACTCTATCTGAAGATTAATGTAAAAATATCCTCAAGTGAGGATTAAAAAAATCAATTTAACATCTCTATTTTGGAATCTGTGAGAATTAATAAGGTTTTACTTGATTTATATATGACAATATGGAAAAATATAAAACTCACCTATCCATATAAAAATAAGTCCCAGAATTTTAGTGCTAGGTTGTTTTAGAAGTCTCTTTGTATAATTCCTTTATTTTATAATTAAGAAAACTAAGAATCAAAGTGATTGAGTAATTAGTAATTAATCAAAATAATGACATTGCCAGTCAGTAGTACAGCCATAATAAATTTCATATTTCATAACTTCTAGTTCAGTTCTTTCAAAAAAAATTTCCTTGCAACACCAACCACATATACAACTATATATAATTAATGTGCTAATTTCAAATGATTCATATCTAGCAGGTCTAGCCAGATTTCATTTGGAAACATCTTGTTAGTTAAGTTGTACACCTATTTGAAAATAATCAAACTTTAAAAAATACAAATTGTTGAATTTAGAATATCAATTAATTCAAATCTCATCAATTAATCAAGATCACTGAAGTATACTATATTTAAAGGAAAATAAAAAAAAAATACTGTGGCTAACCAATCATTTAAAACACTGGTTACTGCCCTGGCCGGTTTGGCTCAGCGGTTAGAGTGTCAACCTGTGGTCCAGAGAGACCCGGGTTCGGTTCCCACTAAGGGCACGTAACTTGGTTGCAGTTTGTCCCCGGCCCTGGTTGGTCATGCAGGTGGCAGCCACTTGATGTGTCCTTTTCATGTCGATGTTTCTCTCTCTCTCTCTCTGTTCCTCTCTCTCCCTCCCACTCTGCCTGAACAAAAAATGGAAAAATGTCCTCGGGTGAGGATAAAAAAATAAAATAAAATAAAACACTGGTTACCAAGTTCAGAGAATATAATCTTTCATTCAGATCAATGACTAATCATTCACTGTTATGCCAAATGGTAACAAAAGGTATGTGAACTCTGTGCACTATTACCTGTAGCTCCTAGTGGGTGTCCCTTTGAAATCAGTCCACCACTGGGATTTATGACCCACTTTCCTCCATAAGTATTATCTCCTCTATCAACCAGTTTTCCACCTTGTCCTATAGAAGAAAAAAATACATTCACAAATGTTAAAAATAACTTTGGAACAAATGATATGTTTTCTTAAACTTCTATATAGCCTAGAATTTCTTACAGCAAACATTTCCTCACCCGAGGACATTTTCTCATTTTTTTGTTCAGGTAGAGTGGGAGGGAGAGAGAGGAACAGAGAGAGAGAGAGAAACATCGACGCGAAAGGGACACGTCGAGTGGCTGCCACCCGCACGACCAACCAGGGCCGGGGACAAACTGCAACCGAGGTACACGCCCTTAGTGGGAACCGAACCCGGGTCTCTCTGTACCGCAGGCTGACGCTCAAACCGCTGAGCCAAACCGGTCAGGGCTGATACAACCATTTTAAAAATAAAATTTAAAAATCATCCAGATCCCACAAACTAGTTTTTCCACTTTCCTTTTTTGCAAGTCTTTATTCAAACACAATCTGAAATTGTTATTACAAATATAATTTTATATCTTTTTTTCCACTTAATAAAACATTATAAGTACTCCTGATTTACATAATACAGATTATTTGTACACTCTGTTATCTCAGTATAGGTTCTAATAAGTCCAGTATCAAGGTAGCTTACATTCATTTTGCACAGTGTGGCAGAGCCAATGAGGAGGGAAAGTAATTAATAAATTCTTTTGTTTAATGGCGAAAATGACATTTTCTTAAAGAAACTAAGTTAATATGCATCTCATAAAAGATATTACCTTCTGGACAGAGTCCCAGTGCTTCATAAGTAATGAGTTCATTGGAAGAAAAGCAATCATGAAGTTCTATTACATCAATATCACTTGGTCTCAGGCCAGATTTCTCATAGCACTTTCTGGCAGCTTCTTTACTCATATCAAAGCCAACCTAAAATCAAAATCATATATAAATAAAAGGCATCAAAACTGGGACTTTTATATAAGGATTTTAAGAGCTTAATATGCATAAACCTAACAGCTGAGAACTGACCACACATATTGAAATATCCATTGACTCTATATTATATAGAAAGTCCAAATAAAAGGATATCCAGAAGGGAAAATATACATATTAAACCTGGTACTATAAAGGAGAGAATTTCAAATAAGATATATAAAAGGATTTATAATTCTTCAGGCCATATCTTAAGTTACAAAAACTCTATCAATCCACAATATTTAATTGTGGTAAACAGGCTGAAGCGATTTATCAACAGATCATTATGATTCAGACAGAGTGAAAAATAATAGGGGAATTTTTATATGAAAATAAATACTCTTCTTCTAGAAGATCATATGGAATTAAAAATATTTTTCCAAAATCCACGCTCTTTACACCTCTTTGGTCTCAGATAATAACATGCACACTGCCTGGCTGGTGTGGCTCAGTGGATTGAGCGTCATCCCATGGACTGAGAGATCCCAGTTTGATTCCTGGTAAGGGCACATGCCTAAGTTTCAGGCTCGATCTCCAGTAGGGGGCATGCAGGAGGCAGCCAACTGATGTTTCTCATGTCGATGTTTCTATCTCTCCTTAAAAAATCACAAGAACACATTTTTGTGTGTGTGTGTGTGGTATGTGCCCCTAGTGGGAACTGAACCCGGGACTCTGGTCCACAGGCTGACGCTCAACCTCTGAGCCAAACTGGCCAGGGCAAGAACACATTTTTTTTTAAACCCACAAAAACAGAACTTTCTCCAAAGAATAAAATTATAGCACAGTGGAAAATGTACTATAATCAGAAAATCTAAATATAAGTTCCTCCTCTACCACACCCTAGCACCTAAGCTTTGTGATCTTGTGCAAGTTATAGGGACATTTTCAAATTCAAAGCATCGTTGTACAATTATTTTGTAAACTATAGTTTAGCATATGATTGTTTATATATGTATATACACCTATATTTTATGTATATGTATGTAATTTATCTATACATATGTATACATATATCTTTAAATATTCAACTAACTCTGTCTGAATTCTCTTTTTTTTTTTTTACTTCCTCCATTTTGTACTTAATCTTCAATCAGGATTTTTGAAGTGTTAGAAAAGTTCCCTGAAAACATCTTTGTTTTTCCCCTAACTCTGTAAGATTGAAATTCTGAGCATATTTAGCCTATTCAAAATAAAAATAAATAGCACATCTAGTTAGTTAAAAGTTATCATACAATGATGCATGATTCTATCACAGGAAGCATATGTTCTCCTCAGTTATTTTGACCTAACAGAATCTTAAGGATGGGTTATAATAAATTTTCTAGACCATTTTTCAAGTAAATTATATCCAGAGCCAATAACAACATCATGTCACTTTGAAATCTTTACATAGAAATCCCTTGATTAATGAATAAAACAGAATTTTAGATGTACCATTTTAATAATGCTGTTTTCTTCAAATGAACTTGGTAAATCAGTCACCATCTCCTGTGCCAGAATTTCCACAGCTTTAGATTGAAGGCCATACTTCTCTACAAATGCTTCACTAGCCAAAATTGCTGCTGCGGCACCATCTGAAGTGGGACTAAGAGGAGGTAAAAATAATTATTTATACCCTGTCCACCTCAATCCTAAGATTTCAGACTAGGAGTTATTTCTGGGAAGAAAGGCTAAGTATGCTTGATGGTCTTCTTTGTGGAATCTACAGTTAAATTTTACACATGCTGTCCATCTGAGGACTGAACCTCTAGCAAAAACTGAAATGCTGTCAGTCACTATTTGGTCTCTAAGAATCTCTCTCCCCAAAAGTTCTGGATTTGCTTCTGTAGATACATAAAGCATCTTCTGGTGACTTCTGAGAAGTACATAAGGTTATTCCCATCCCAGTACAATCCAGATTCTACCATACACCTAACTAGCTCCAACTCTGCTATCTCCCAAATAACTGTCTTGGAATCCTTTTGAAAACTGGGAAAGGATGGAATAGAAGATACCAGAAAGTCCATGCTTTGGTTAAAACTCTTAAGATCTCCTCAAAATAGTATTTTCCTTAGAGTAAGCTTTGAAGGAAGGTGGCAAACAAAAGCCTTCTGCGAGTTGAGCTGGACTTTATAAATGGGCAGACCCTTATATTGCAACAGATAAAAGCTGACCTGACTTGCTCACTTGCATCTCAGCCAGTATCTCCAGGGTACAACCAGGTGATAACTAGGCACAGGTAGGACCTATGCAGTACTCACTCCATGTTCTAGGAGATAAATACTGTCAAGCAATTTTCAAAATGCCATTTTCTATTATCAGTATTAGAGCTATGATTTTTTCCCCTTGTTTTATGTTTATTCTTAGCTACTATGAGAGTAAAACTTCCTACAGTAGAAGTGAACAGCAAAGAAAACAAAATGCTCAAGTGAAAAATCTTGGGACTCCACTGGCCTTCTAATTCCATTTAAATGAATAAATACACTTAAAAGTCATGAGAAAAGGAAGTAAAATATATAATTTTCCAAGAAAAGAGACAGTCTGTCTCTAGGCAGGAGAAGGAAGTAAGGTTACTCATTTCAGAGTGAGGACTACATTTGTTACCATTGTAATTAGCTAGTTATTAATAATAGAAAGGAGCAAAGGGAAGGCCAGACAATATAAGCATGGCCAATTGGGTACCTTCACCATGAAGATGCAGTTTCACACGCCCCAGGGAACCACCGATCCATTTCCGGCAGATCACTGGGGGAAGGGACTGGACAAAGGGGAAAATAGGCGAAAGCCCAGTCAAGTTGGGATGACGTAGGGAAGGTGCTTGCCTGTCATTCTAGCCTGAAACAAAGATAACTGGCTAGAGGGAGTGGAGCAACTACAAGCATGTAGAATCTTAGAAGGTTAAAATCTGCAGAGAAAAGAATTCTCTCTTGTTCCTCTGGCTTTGCTCTGGCTTCCTTGCACTTACCTATGTTCCCTCCATAGCTATGTGGCCCTAGAAGCTGCATGGCCCATGGCCATTTGGACCCCACAGCAATGAACTGCAACTGGGAACACAAACTAAGCTAGCCTGATGCTGAACTGGACTGTGCAAATATGAAACAGAGGCTCAGGGCAGTGACTTTAATCCTAGCTCTGCTGAAGACATAGCTTTTTCCCTGGCAGGAAAGAGGGAATGGGACCTTGGAAACTCAGGGGTCTGATCCCATGCAAATAAATATCATTCATTCTCCCATATGAGTCTCAGAAAATTCCTTTTCCTTTTCTCATGACATTGCAAGAAGCCCACTTCCACCAGCAACAGGTGAGGACACAGAGGAAATCCCACCACTAACATATTGATAGTTCTACAGCAGGGGTTCTCAACCTGTGGGTCGCGACCCCTTTGGGGGTCAAATGACCCTTTTACAGGGGTCGCCTAAGACATAACAGTAGCAAAATTATAGTTATGAAGTAGCAACAAGAATAATTTTATGGGTGGGGGCACCACAACATGAGGAACTGTATTAAAGGCCGCGGCATTAGGAAGGTTGAGAAACACTGCTCTACAGAAATAGATACAGTAAAGATATACCCAGATACAGAGCCTAAAGTTTACCCAAGGGGGGCAGGGAGGAGCAATTACTTCAATTAAATATTAAAATGTTTTTCTTACCAACATTGTAAGACAGTAAGAAAATCAAAAACTTTTCGAGAAGTTCTCACTTCATCTAAACTGTATTCCTTTTGGAACTGGGAATACCTAAATGCAAAATAAGTAGTTATAGAATGTTAGGTAGCAATTACAATTTTTTGTTGAAGATGTTCTGGTCCAGAAGTTGAAGACAGAATAATATGTAAGTATTCTTTTCACAACCAAAAGACTGGCTCTTATAAACAGTTTCAACCTTTAATATGTAAGTCATTTGAACTGAATTTTTAAAATATACTAACTCCAGCCGTGGCTGGTTTGTCTCAGCGGTTAGAACGTAGGCTTGCGGTCCTGAGAGACCCAGGTTGGGTTCCCGCCAAGGGCATGTACCTCGGTTGCAGTTTGTCCCCAGCCCTGGTTGGGTCGTGTGGGTGGCAACCACTTGATGTGTCCCTTTCACATCGATGTTTCTCTCTCTCCCCTTCTATCTGAACAAAAAATGAAAAAATGTCCTTGGGTAAGGATTAAAAAAAAACAAAAAACTAACTCTAAAATGCCACATGCTGTATAATAAATTTTACTAATCTTTGTCCTGGGTTCCAATCCTTGGAGTGATCAAAATGTCTTTGTTATGCTAATGGGGTGATTCATGTAGGCCTCTTGTTGGGGGTGGGGGGCACTGAGGGCTGCTCACCAGAAAGAGAAAGAGAAAAACTACCCATGTGAATATAGGGTTGGGACTTTCCAGCCAGTTTGACCCCAGGGAGAAGAGGGGGGCTGGAGACTAAAGTCAATCATGTGGTCAATGATTTAGTCGAGTATGTCTGCATAACAAAGCCCCAATAAAAACTATGGACAATTAACTTGGTGAAACTTCCTGGTTGATGAGCACCATCATATGCTGGGATGATGATATGCCCTGACTCCATGGGGAAGAGGGCATGGAAGCTCTGCATTAAGCACCCTTCCAGACCTCATCCTATGTGCTGCTTTATTTGGCTGTTCTTGAATTATATGCTTTATAATAATACAGATGCTCCTCAACTCACGATAGGGTAACAACCCAACAAACCCATTGTAAGTTGAAAATATCATACATCAAAAATGCATTTAACCACCCTGGCCAGTGTGGCTAAGTGGTTGAGCATCGATCAATGCACCAGGAGGTCGCTAGTTTGATTCCCAGTCAGGGCACATGTCCAGGTCGTGGGCCCAATAACCAGTGGGGGGCATGCAGGAGATGGCCGACTGATGTTCTCTCTCATCAATGTTTCTAGCTCTCTCTCCCTCTCCCTTCCTCTCTAAAGTCAATTAAAAAAAGAATTTTTAAAAAAAAAGAAAGATGGGAGAAGGAATAAATTTAAAAGATCAGGATTCTGCTCATCACCAAATCATCTGCAACTCACACGGGACACTAAGGAAGAAGGCAGAGTCAAGGAAGACTTCTAGTTTTCTATCTTGAATAATTAGATATATGGTATATCATTTACCAAGATGAAAAATGCTGAAAGGAAAACAGGGTTGAGGGGAAATGATAAATTCTTTATGAACATGTTGACTCTGAGGTACCTGTGGGACAAGTAAGAGAAAGTTACAGACACAAGTCTGAAGGCTCAAGTGGCATGGGTTATCTCTAATACTATACTCCTTATCACAGATTCTCACTGCCTTTAATTATTCTTATAATTTGTGAGGAAGCACCTGAGAATAGTTTCCTAATTCAATCTTCTTAGAAATATGTAACAGGGTATTCTCTAATGACTCATCAGCAAACATACTTTTCTCTTTCTTCACTAGCCAAACAAAGCCTAATGCAAGAAGTTAGCACCTGAAATTTCTGAGCCAAACCTAGAAATTCTTAGCTGTTTCAAAAACTTTTAAATGACAAAACTGACACCTAGGAATAATATTTGCCTACTGAACATAATTGAGAACTTATAAAATGTAATGGAACATCCATGCAAACAAGGAATTTATCTGTCTTATTCTTTGCTGCATCACTAGCAGCTAAAGCAATGTCTTGAATATGGTAGGCTACTGAATACATACTGTTAGGTAAATAAAGTTCCCTTAGAAGAATGCTGTAATGAGTGGATAAATGAATGCCTGGTTAGACAACGGATTAAATAAGAAAAAGGCTTAAAAGCTTTGATTCTCTGGGGAAAGTCAAGAGATGCTCTTTGGGGCCTCAAAGCCAGGCAACTGCACTGCTGTCAATTCTGCAGTATGTTGGTACAGTTCCTTACGAGTTTCAGGAAATCCCAAGAATTTTTAATGGTTCTCCAAGTTCTAATGACAAGGAAATCAGCTCTAGACCATCTTTGTTGACTTAAGACTGCTCATCCTAATTCTACTATTCTGTAACAGCAAAGTTTTATTGAGCATATATTATGCTCTAATTCCCTGTTAAATCCTGAAGACATAATCTCTGCTCAAGGATCATCACAGGAGGAGAAACACTCATAAATAAGTAAGTATAGTACAGTGTGGGACATTACAATAGAGGGACATAGTGCAATGAAGCACCTGAGAAAAAAATAATTAATAAAGTGTTAAGAGAAGCAATGATAGCCCTGGCTGGTTTGGCTCAACAGAGCACTGGCCCATGGACCAGAGTCACCAGGGTTCAATTCCGGTCAAGGGCATATACCTTGGTTTGCTCCCCAGCCCTGGTTGGGTCATGCAGGAGGCAACCAATCAGTGTGTCTCTCTCACATCAATGTTTCTCTCTCTCTCTTCTTCCCTCCCTCCCACTCTATCTGAAAATCAATGGAAAAAATATCCTCGGGTGAAGATAAAAAAAAAAAAAGAGAGAGAGAAGCAATGATATTTGGGTTGTGACTTGATGGGTAACTAGATTGTCTGTTTCACTACAAAGAATAGCAGAGGATATTCCAGAGAGAGCTAAAAGCGTAAGTAAAAACACAGAAGCAAGTCCTATATAGTACATTTAGGAAAAACCAAGTAATCTGGTGAGGCTAGAAATTAGGAATATCCAGCGAAGTAGTAAGAAATAAGACTGGCAAAGTAGAATGGGGCCAAATTACAACAGGCTTGTATGTTATGAAGGAATTTGGATTTTATCATATAAGAAATGGAAATTCTGCCCTGGCAGGTTTGGCTCAGCGGTTAGAGCATCGGCCCACGGACCAGAGAGACCGGGTTTGGTTCCTGCTAAGGGCATGAACCTTGGTTGTGATTCGCCCCCATCCCCAGTTGGGGTTGTGCGGGTGGAAACCAGTCCATGTCTCTCTCTCTCTCTCTCTCTCTCTCTCCCTCCTGCTCTATCTGAAGATAAATGCAAAAATGTCCTTAGGTGAGGATAAAAAAGGGAAATTCACTAAAGCTCTCATGATACCCTTAGATATTTCACAAAATACACTTAGATCTAGAACATAGAATTCGGTATTTGTTAATTAGGTATGCTCTTCTAAGTTCAGACATCAATTTAAAATTAGGAGAATGAGAAGAACTAGCAGCAGCATAAAGTACTAGGAATATGTGACCTATGTAACAATCTATTTATGGTATAAAGTGTTCCTTGTCATGGTTTTATGTTTATTAAATATGGAAAATTTTGTTTTATAATTCAGAAACAATTTACTGAGCAGTTATTATGTTCCAAGTTCTGTACTAAGCATTAAAGATAACAGATGGCTCTTCCCCTCAAAGCATTCATAATCTAAGAGGAGAAAAATACAAACATTATTTTACCACTACTTAGAATGATCCTGAGCAAGTTACCAAATTTCTATAAGCCTTGTTTTCCTCACCTATAAAACAAGAATAAAAATATCTCCCTTATAGGGTCTTTGAAAGGATTAAATGAATATGTAAATAGAAGTATCCAGCACAGTGATGCAGAGTTGGCATTTAATAAAGCTAGCTATTATTCTTTTATTACCTGGTGGTATTGCTTTTGTATAGATTCTAGTTATGGGGCACTAATTCAACTGTCAGTGAACCAGTTTTATTTAGCAACCATAAAGTACATGCTATGCACCAGGCATTGTGCTAGGCACTAGGGGATTCAAAAATTAATGATCTGTGTAACACACATGATGTAATTTTACTTCAGATTACTATTATTTTTTAAATTTTATTTTCTCTGTTTTTAGAGAGAGAAGAAAGGAGAAGGAGAGAGAAGTAGAAACATCAATGAGAGAGTATCGATTGGCTGCCTTCTGCATGCCCCTCACTGGGGATCAGGCCCACAAACTGGGCATATGCCCTGACCAGGAATTGAACCAATGACCTCCTGGTACATGGGTTGATGCTCAACCACTGAGCCACACCAGCTGGGCTACTTCAGATTATTTTTTAGGATATAAATAATCATATTACTTTTACAAAATAAGAGTTAATGACACTGGCATAATTAAAATGCATTACTAAAGCAATACAAATAATTCCATATAAAATAATTTAAAAGGTTACTAATGTGCTTTTTTTTTTTAATCCTCACTGGAGGATATTTTTCCATTTTTGTTCAGATAGAGTGGGAGGGAGAAAGAGGAAGAAAGGGAGAGAAAGAAAAACATCCATGTGAGAAAGACACATCAACTGATTGCCTCCCACACGACCCCAACCAGGGCTGGGGACAAACCACAACCAAGGTACATGCCCTTGACCGGAACTGAACCCATAACTCATTGGTCAGTGGGCCAACGCTCTACCCGCTGAGCCAAACCAGCCAGAGCAAGGTTACTAATACACATTTTACAAATGTTTTAGTTGATCAAAATGAACTAAGAGAAGTTTTAAGGAGTGGCTTAAAATGGTGACTGTTATTTCCAACTAAAATTATTACAATAAATTTTATTCATGCCTGGCCAGTGTAGCTCAGTGGCTGAGCATCAACCCATGCACCAAGAGGTCGCCAGTGGGATTCCCGGTCAGGGCACATGCCCAGGTTGTGGGCCCAGTCCCCAGTAGAGGGCATGCAGGAGGTGGCCAATCAATGTTATCTCTCATCGATGTTTCTCTCTCTCTCTCCCTCTCCCTTCCTTTCTCTCTAAAATCAATAAAGAAAAAAAAAATTTTTTTAATTTTATTCACTAGAGTTGCAATATATGTCCAATTACATCTTTTATTTTATTTTTTTATTTTTTATTTTTTTATCCTCACCCGAGGACATTTTTGCATTTTTTTGTTCAGACAGACCGGGAGGGAGAGAGAGGAAGAGAGAGGAAGAGAGAGAGAGAGAAACATCGATGTGAAGGGACACATTGAGTGGTTGCCACCCGCACGACCAACCAGGGCCGGGGACAAACTGCAACCGAGGTACGTGCCCTTAGCGGGAACTGAACCCGGGTCTCTCAGGACCGCAGGTCGACGCTCTAACCGCTGAGCCAAACCGGCCAGGGCCAATTACATCTTTTAATACCAGCTATTCGCATTCTTTCTTAAAAGAGTCGTTAAGCTTAAATGGTTTTCTAAATATAAACAGACCAAAAACTAAAATAAAAAGAAGTCAAAAGTTTACTTGGGCACAAGCATTTTATAAGAAAAAAAAAATACATAGGAATATAGTCAGTCGTATTGTAATAACTGTGTATGATGCCAGGTGGATACTTGAAATATCGGGGGAATCACTTACTAAAGTAAATAACTGTCTCACTACTATACTGTACACCCAAAATAATACACAATACTATTGAATATAAGCAGTTTTTAAAAAATAAAACATTCTGGTTAATATCTTTAAGGTCTTGTATTAGCTTTTCAAGTATTAAAGTTGTGTGTTATACAGCAGGATAACCCAGACTTTCACTATTTCATATACCTCAAATACTTACGGGTTATTAATCGAGTGTTTATGATTTTTCCATCCAATTTTTGCAAAATGTTCAGCTTTTGTTCCTGGAGTGAAAGCAGATACCTATTAGTGAATTAATGTTTTTCTGCTGCTTGTGAACAAATGTTGCAATGGCACTCAGTGTCCTGCTAAATATTTCTACATTTTCCCTTGCACGGATATCAGTATTGAAGACGTCAACATTAATCCCTTAACAAATATTTCTTAATCATTAAACTTAAGTATATTTAATGAACTGAAATCAACTAATAGGCATACAGGGTGGGGCAAAAGTAGGTTTACAGTTGTCTGTATGGAAAATAGTACAATAATTAATGAATAATAATACAAGAATAAACTGTGTTTCGTGTTCTCACAACTGTAAATGTACTTTTGCCCCACCTTGTATACAGGAAAAGAGTTCAAACTGGCCTATTCTACCTAGTATAACTAGGGTCCAATTTCAAAAACTAGAAAATATAGGCTGGGACCACAGGGAGTTTAAGGCAAGAAATCACTGGCAGCCATTTTTCAAGAAGTCTATCAAAATGTCCCAATGCCCCTGGGATTAGGTGAATTTTACAACTCACATTACGCTTCAGGGCCTGCTCTTCTTCTTTCCTTATGATAAGGCATTTGAAGAGTTACATCCTAACAAGAAATGTGTATGCTTTTCAAGTTCCTTAACAGAAAATTTAAAGAATAGTGTCAGGAAAACAAAAGCAGGCACATTAATAAAGCAAATTTGTAAAAATCTTTTTTCATTGTTTTTAAAAAGTCAAAACAGAATAAAATGGCTTTGAAATTTCCTTTGAAGCTAGAAAAAACAAGGAAGGAAAAAAGCCCACTGATTAGAGCCAATAATGTTATGTTAAAAATGTCACAGTGAAGTGGAAAGTCCCCATTTCTGTTTTATCTCAGTCTTCTCTGTCAAGGAGAATGATCTTCAGAGCTGAAATGACGTACATTAAATTGGGCCAATCTTGTCTCAATTCTGATTTTAAAAAGGGAATAAGGTAGCGTGTCCAGTGTGGCTCAGTGGTTAATGTTGGCCCATGCACCAAAGGGTCATCGGTTCAGGGCATGTACCTGGGTTGCAGGTTCATTGACACCCAGCCCCGGTCAGGATGCGTGTGGGAGGCAACCAATCAATGTCTCTGTCTCTGCCTCTGTCTCTGTCTCTCTCTCTCTCCCCCACACTCCCACCTCCCTTATGTACTCTTTTGAAAAATCAATGGAGCCCTGGCCGGTTTGGCTCAGCGGTTAGAGCGTCGGCCTGTGGTCCGGAGAGACCCGGGTTCGGTTCCTGCTAGGGGCGCATACCTCGGTTGCAGTTTGTCCCCGGCCCTGGTTGGTCGTGCAGGTGGCAGCCACTCGATGTGTCCCTTTCTCGTCGATGTTTCTTTCTCTCTCTCTCTCTCTCCCCCACCCCCTCTCTCCCTCCCACTCTATCTGAACAAAAAATGGAAAAGTGTCCTCGGGTGAGGATAAAAAAAAAAAAAAAAAATCAATGGAAAAATATCCTTGGGTGAGGATTAACAAAAAAAAAGGGGGAATAAGGTAGATTCCATCCACATTGATGTTCTCATACTAATGAGAATGGTGATCAGGAGACAGCCAATATGGGTTCACAAAGAACAAGCCAAATCATATTAATATCTTTTTTTTATGCTCGTCTTAAAAAATATTTTTTCTTTATTGATTTTAGAGAAAGAGGAAGGGAAAGGGAGAGAGAGATAGAAATATCAATGGGAGAGAACATTGACTGGCCATCTCCTGCATGCCCGCCACTGGGGATTGGGCCTAGAACCTGGGCATGTGCCCTGACCAGGAATTGAACCAGCAACCTCTTGGTGCGTGGGTTAACAGTTAACCAGTGAGCCACACCGGCCGGGCTAATATCTTTTTTTTTTTTATCCTCACCCGAGGACACTTTCCCATTTTTTGTTCAGGTACAGTGGGAGGGAGAGAGAGGAACAGAGAGAGAGAGAGAGAAACATCGATGTGAAAGGAACACATCGAGTGGCTGCCACCCGCACGACCGACCAGGGCCGGGGACAAACTGCAACCGAGGCACGTGCCCTTAGCGGGAACCGAACCCGGGTCTCTCAGGACCGTAGGTCGACGCTCTAACCGCTGAGCCAAACCGGCCAGGGCTAATATCTTTTTTTTTTATCCTCGCTTGAGGACATTTTTCCATTTTTGTTCAGATAGAGTGGGAGGGAGGGAGAGAGAGAGAGAAACATCAATGTAAAAGGGACACATCAAGTGGCTGCCTCCTGCACAACCCCAACCTGGGCCGGGGACAAACTGCAACCAAGGTACGTGCCCTTAGCGGGAACCAAACCTGGGTCTCTCTGGACCTCGGGCCGACGCTCTAACTGCTGAGGCAAACCAGCCAGGGCCTAATGTCTTTTTTTTAATTGGATTGATTGGAAGATAAAATGAAACACGGTATCTGGACATCAGCAAGACAATTAAATTTTCAGGACATCTTTTGGGACAAGGTAAGAAAATACTGTAGTCTAGATTTTGTTTTTATCTTTGGTTTTGGGGGTTTTTTGGTTTGTTTTTTGGTATAGCTAAAAATATAAGGGTTCTTCTGTCAAGTTTAGATAATACTGGTTTAAACAGAACTAAATGGATTTCTTTATAGCAAGACATCAGAGCCTTTACTATTATTGCTCTGAATTATGTATTATGACTGTCCAATAGGAGGTTAAAATATGAAGCATTTCCCTGCTTAACTGACTCACATTATAGAGCATTTTATGAGTTTACTGTCCCATGGAACACATATTGGGAAATGATAGACATTGATTAATGCATAATCCTAGAGAAAAATATCTAGTGCTAACTAACCTCTAACCTGATGTAATGAGTGCATAAATGAGTGCCTGGTTAGACACCAAGTAAAATGAGAGAAAGACTTTGAAGCTTTGATTCTCTGGAAAAAGCCAAGAGCTGCTCAGATTAATATTTCTACCAAAAACTGAATTAGAAAATTAAAGGCACTGTCACCAAACCTGAAGAGAGGAGGGACTACTATAATTATAATATTGGATCCAAATAGTCTCTAACAAAGTTTATCAATGGTATGAATCAGAATATAACTAATTAAACACCCAATTCTATTATATTCTTGGACCTCCTCAAAACAGAGGTCATCACTGACTATTCTAAATTTGCTCCCCACTACCCACAAGTATATTACCTTGTTTTATTTTCTTCACAGGACAAATAATTACCTGAAATTATCTTATTGTTTTATGTATTACTGTCTCTCCCCTACTGAAAATTTAAGCAAAAATCTCACATCTCATCTATTTATTTATTGCCTGTGAATGAATGCATTAATGTATCTAATTCTTTTTCCCTTTTGAATGTTCTTTGCTGTCTGACTTTGTAGTTTTCTACCACAAAAGAAGTGGAGTATATTTCCCTATCCCTTGATTCCAAGTTCGCCATGTGACTTGCTTTAGTCAACAACTTCAATCTCAAGAGGATTTGCATATTGCAGATTACTCTCTTGTGCTTCTATTTTCACCATAAAAAGGATATGCCAGGGCTGGCCCTGTAGTCCCAGGAGGAGGATGGGAGACATATGACCCAGTCAAATAAGACTAGAACAGAGCCTCTAGCCATCCTACAATCATATGATTAACCCATACAAGAAAAGCTGAGCTCAGCTTAGATCAGCTGGCTCCCAGTCAATCTACAAACGTGTCAACTATAATAATAAATAATTGTTTAAAATCACTGAGTTTTAGAGCAGTGTATTACACAGCAATAGCTGACTGACATACTGCTATATTCCAGTGCCTGAAATATAATGAGCTCAATAATGTTTTTAATGAATTATCTAACTGAAAAAGACATGGACAAGGAATAGCCAAAGAGGTAAGAAAAACCAGGAGAATAAGGTATCCGTCACAGAAGCCAAGGGAAGAGAATATTAAAAAAAAAAAAGAGTGATCAAAAGGTAGTAATGCTGCTGAGGTCTATTAAATTAGTTTCGAGCCCTGGCCAGTTTGGCTCAACAGTTGAAGCATCAGCCTGCGGACCAAAGAGTCTCGGGTTCAGTTCTGGTTAAGGGCATGCACCTTGGTTGCAGTTTGTCCCCGGGGTCATAGGGGAGACAACCAGTTGATGTGTCTCTCTCACATTGATGTTTCTCAACCTCTCGCTCTCTCTCTCTCTTCCTCCCTCCCACTCTATCTGAAGATAAATGGGAAAATATCCTCAGGTAAGGATTAAAAAAAAAGTTAGGTTTGAAAAGTATTTACTGGATATAGCAACACAGTGATCAATGATAGCATTGAGAAAGGAAGGAAGCCAGATTGGAATAGTTAAAAATGGTAAGAAATTGGTACAAGAAAGAAAATGTCTATAGCCAAAGAGAGGCAGTGCTCCTTTATATGATCCCACCATTCTTCCTTGAAGATTTTTTTCCTTTCTAATTACTTGATTTTGGCTATCAAACTTGGGGTATTTTTCCTACAAAGAATAGGAATGCTGAACTTTGAAGCATGAAAATGTTCTTTCTTATCTCACAGTACACAACAAGGCACTGGTTCAGGGTCATACAATGAAAAATAAAAATCCTATCTGCATTATCCCATGCTTTGACTAAGACAGGCCAATCATTGACCATCAGTAAAAAAATTACTAGGTTTACCTACAAATAAAAATCAACCATGAAAGTTAAATTTCATAACACACTATGGAATTACAGATGATGATGTACTAACTACTAAGAATAAAAGTTGAGCCCTGGCCGGTTTGGCTCAGCGGTTAGAGCGTCGGCCTGCGGTCCGGAGAGACCCGGGTTCGGTTCCCGCTAGAGGCACGTACTTCGGTTGCGGTTTGTTCCCGGCCCTGGTTGGTTGTGCGGGTGGCGGCCACTCGATGTGTCCCTTCACGTCGATGTTTCTCACTCTCTCTCCCTTCCTCTCTCTCCCTCCCACTCTATCTGTACAAAAAATGGAAAAATATCCTCGGATGAGGATTTAAAAAAATAAATAAATAAAAGTTGATGATAAAAACCTATTACTAAGAATAAAATTTATACTAGGAATAAAATTTGACTATATAAACCTATTACCAAGAGCAAACTTTAAGTCTTATTATCATTTTCAGAACTAATGAACTTCAATTTATAGTCCACAATTAAAGCAGACAAGATTTATGTTAGTTTTCCTATTTCAATTTCTAGTTTTAGAGCATTCTAGGTACTTCCAATATGATGTCGTATATATAAATACTTTCTCTACAACTAAATTCTTTACAGACTATTTCTTCAATTTAATGCAAAAACCATTTTATATCTTATATCTTATATATTATATGTATATCCTGGCATCCTCCACAGTTCCTTAGTAAACACCTGTTGTTTCTCATCACATCTGTATAACATGTATTAACCAACAAACCTTAAACTTTTTTTTTTTTTAACATACCGTATTTTTCCATGTGCTCTTTTCCAGCAAACCCAAACATTTGAGGAGTAACTGGTAGGGGAGACAATTCATACTTATTTATCAGGACCTCAACATGTTTATCAATTGGATTAGTCTTCTTTGTAAACTAAGAAAGAGGAAAAAACAAAATTTAATAAGCATTTGATGTGATAGTGTTTCTTTCAACTATTACAGCGTTACTGAGACATTTGCTCATTCCAAGCGCACTATAAACAAAAAATGGACAATGTGAATAATATCAGTCAGGAAATGCTTTGCACAAAAACATGGCAAGGAAAATAATCAAATGCCAACACGGCAGAATTCTTTCAAGAAACATTTATAAAGAATCCCAGCCCAGTAGGTGTGGCTCAGTGGTTGAGCATAGACCCATGTACCAAGAATTCACCAGTTTGATTCCCGATCAGGGCACATGCCCAGGTTGTGGGCCCAATCCCCAGTGGGGTGAAGGCATGCAGAAGGCAGCCAAGCGATATTCTCTCTCATAAATGTTTCTATCTCTCTCCCTCTCTTCCTCTCTCTAAAATCAATAAAGAAAAATTTTTTTAAATCATCAACAAAATATTAGCAAATGGAATTCAACAATACATTAAAAGGATCATACACTATGTTCAAGTGAGCTTTATCCCAGGAATGTAAGAATGATTCAACATCTGAAAATCAATCAATGTGATACATCACATTAATAAAATAAAGAATTAAATCATATGATTATCTCAATAGATACAGAAAAAAGCATCTGACAAAATCTAAAATCCATTTATGATAAAAAACTCTCAACAAAGTGGATATATGGGAAACATACCTCAACATAAACACCATCTATGATAAAACCACAGCTAATATACTCAACAGTGAAAAGCTGAAAGCTTTCATCTAAGAGCAGGAACAAGACAAGAAGGTCTACTCTGCCACTTTTATTCAACATGGTATTGGAAGTCCTCATCATAGCAATCAAACAAGAAAAAGAAATAAAAAGTATCCAAATTGGAAAAATATCAAACTGCCACTATTCTCAAATGACAGAGTACAATATATAGAAAACCCTAAAGACCACATTAAAACACCGTTTGAACAGCCCTGGCCAGTTTTCTCAGTGATTAGAGTGTCAGTCCGCCAACCAAAGAGTCGCGGCTTCGATTCCGGTCAAAGGCACATACCTCAGTTGCAGTTCGGTTTCTGGCCTGGTCGCAGTCCTGTGGGAGGCAGCCAATCAATGTGTCTCTTCCACATCGATCTCTCTCTCTCTCTCTCTCTCTCTTTCTCTCCCCCCCTTCCCACTCTATCTGAAGATAAATGGAAAAATATCCTCGGGTGAGGATTTAAAAAAAAACAAACAACAATGAGGTATCACCTCACACCTGTCAGAATGGCAGCCATCAACAAATCATCAAACAAGTGTTGGCGAGAGTGTGGAGAAAAGGGGACTCTAGTACACTGCTGGTGGGAATGCAGACTGGTGCAGCCACTATGGAAAACAATATGGTGTTACCTCAAAAAATTAAAAATGGAACTGCCATTTGACCCAGTGATCCCACTTCTAGGAATATAACCTAAGAAGCCTGAAACACCAATCAGAAAGAATATATGTACCCCCATGTCCGTAGCAGCACTATTTACAATAGCGAAGATCTGGAAACAGCCCAAGTGTCCATCAATAGATGAATGGATAAAATAGCTGTGGTACATATACACAATGAAGTACTATGCAGCTGTAAGAAAGAAAGATCTCTTATCCTTTGAGACGACATGGAGGGACCTGGAAAGTATTATCCTAAGCGAAACAAGCCAAACAGAGAAAGACAAGTATCATATGATCTCACTTATTTGTGGGATATAATGAACATAAGTCTGAGAAATGGGGTAGTCCCAGAGACGTGGAAGTGGGGTACAGACTGACAACCCCCAGAAGAGGGGTTGGGGGGCAGAGATAAACCACAGAACTTATACGCATGTATGCATGAACAATGGACATGGACAACAAAGCTGGGGACAGGGTGGGGAGGGAGGGGGAGTGGGGAATCAGTGGGGGGAAAAGGAGAAACATCTGTAACAAAAATCAATTAATTAATTTAAAAAAAAACACAAAACATTCAAGCCCGGCCGGTGTGGCTCAGTGGTTGAGCGTCAATTCATGCACCAAGAGGTTGCAGGTTCAATTCGCGGTCAGGACACATGCCCAGGTTGTGGGCCCAATCCCCAGTGGGGGGCATGCAGGAGGCGGCCAATTGATGTTCTCTCTCATCGATGTTTCTATCTCTCTCTCCCTCTCACTTCCTCTCTCTAAAAAATCAATAAAGGAAAAAAAATTTTTTTAAAGTTTGAACTAGTAAATTAATTCAGTAAAGTTGCAAGATACAAAATCAATATATAGAAAACTGGCATTTCTATACACAAATAAACTATCAAAAAGAGAAATTAAGAAAACAATCCCATTTATAATAGCATCAAAAATAATAAAATATCTAGGAATAAATTTAACCAAGGATATAAAAGACCTGTACAATGAAAACTATACAACACTGTTGAAAGAAACTGAAGACACAAGTAAATGAAAAGACCACTTATCCTATGTTCATGAATTGAAAGAATTAGTATATTTAAATGTCCATACCATCCAAAGCAATCTCCAGATTCAATGCAATCCCATTCAAAATTCCAATAACATTTTTCACAGAACTAGAACAAATAATTCTAAAATGTGGACAAAACCACAAAAGACTCTGAATAGCCAGAGCAATCTCGAGAAAGAGAACAAAGCTGGAGGTATCATGTTCCCTGATTAAACTATACTACAAAGCTATCACAATCGAAATAGTATATCAGCAAAAAAAAACAAAAAACCAAACACATAGATCAATGGAACAGATCAGAGAGCCCAGAAATGAACCTGCACATATATGGACAATTTACAACAAAGGAGCCAAGAACATACAATGGGGAAAGAACAATCTTTACTAAATGGTGCTAGGAGAACTGGACAGCTACATGCCAAAAATATAAAACTAGGCCACTATCTTACACCACAAAAATTAACTCAAAATGGATTAATCACTTGATCATAAGACCTAAAACCATAAAATTCCTAGAAGAAACCACATCAATGTTAGTGATTTTTTTTTTGGATATGGCTCCAAAGGCAAGGAAAACAAAAGCAAAATAAACAAATGGGATGACATCAAACTAAAAAGCTTCTGCACAGTCCTGGCCAGTTTGGCTCAGCGGTGAGAGCGTTGGCCTACAGATCAATGAGTCGTGGGTTCATTTCCGATCAAGGGCGCATACCTTGGTTGCGGTTCGCGCCTGAACCAGTTGATCTGTCTCTTTCATGTCAATGTTTCTCTCTCTCTCCCTTTCTCTCTCTCCCTCCCACTCTATCTGAAGATAAAGGGGAAAATATCCTGGGGTGAAGATAAAAAAATAATAATAATAAAAATAAAAACTTCTGCACAGAGAAGGAAACCATCAACAAAATGAAAAAGCAACCTACTGAATGGGAGAAAATATTTGCAAAACATACATTAGTAAGGGGCTGAAATCCAAAATAGTATACAAAAAACTCACACGACTCAAAAACATAAAAACAACCAATTTTTAATATTATTTTTTTAAATAATTGATTTTTTAGAGAGAGAGGAAAGGAGAGAGATACAAACATCAATGTGAGAGAGAAACATCAATCGGCTGCTTCCTGCATGCCCCACACTGTGGATCAAGCCTACAACTCGGGCATGTGCCCTGACGGGGAATCTAACCAGGACCTCTCAGTACGTGGGATGACGCTCAATCCACTGAGCCACACCAGCAGGGCTAAACAAACAAATTTTAAAATGGGCACATCTTAGTTAAAAAGGAATGATAATTAAAACAATGATGTATAAATTCTGCTTCTAGCTATGATGGGATTATAGAAACCAGATTTGCGCTTCTATCTTAAATAACTTAAAACCTGGAAAAAAAATATACAAAACAACTGTTTTCAGACAATGGACAACATAAAGCTTAGTATAGTGATCCCTAAGAGAAAGGAAATAAATAAGATGAGCATTATGATTGTCTCCAGATTACTACCTGGAAAGAGTAGGGAGAAGTAACACAGAGTTCAGCAGTCACCCTAAGTTGAAGAAACAGAATTCAGAGTTCAGAGAGACCAAGGCATCTACAATTCACAGAGAAGAGTACTGGAGAGAAGATAAAAAAGAGAGATAGAGAGAAATAGAGGGGAGAGAGGGAAGAAAGAGAGGAGAGAGAGAGGGATATCTGAAGATCAGAAGAGAGTTGCCCTTGAGTAGTTTTTTTTTTTTTCTTTATTGATTTTTTAGAGAGAGAAGTGAGAGGGAGAGAGAGAAACATCGATGAGCCCTGGCAGGTTTGGCTCAGCAATTGGAGCATTGGCCTGCGGACCAGAGAGTCCCGGGTTCGGTTACCGCTAGGGGCACGTACCTCGGTTGCAGTTTGTCCCCGGCCCTGGTTGGTAGTGCGGGTGGCAGCCACTCGATGTGTCCCTTCACATCGATGTTTCTCTCTCTCTCTCTTCCTCTCTCTCCCTCCCGCTCTATCTGAACAAAAAATGGAAAAATGTCCTCGGGTGAGGATTAAAAAAAAAAGAAAGTGATCCTAGAAAGAAATCCAAATCAATAAGAGGAATAATGAGCATAAAAATGATATATATATAGAGCAATATAAGGACTTTTTCTTACTTTAAAAATATCTTTTAAAATAATTGTTTATTTAAAGCAAAATCAGTAACTGCTGTGGGGTTTAAAACATATACAGAAGTAAAATGTGCTTCTGAGACAAGGCAAACAAGCAAAAATATATTATAAGGTTCTTATAACACTAAAGTCATAATATTGCTTAAAGGTGGTCTTTATCTGTGTTAAAGATATATACTGTAGACCCTAAAGCAACTACTAGAAGCAAAGCAAAACACCAGAGGTACAGTTAATAAGTTTATAAAACAGATAAAATTAAATTCCCCCCCAAATTCTTAATTAACATAAAAGAAGACAGGCAAAGAGGTAAAAGGAACAAAGAAGGTATTGAACAAAAAAGAAAACAAGTAGCAAAATGGTAGGTTTAAATCAGTGGTGACTTAGTAAATGTTTAATAATATAGGCTTATGGCAATGGAGGTAGCATTTGCTGATTTATTGTGGTATAATAAATACTGCCACCATGGCCAATTAACATGATGTCACTGAAAGCAAAGAGGAGATGTGCATAATCAGATCTTGCAAGCTGGTACAAGCCAGTAGGAATCACTTTCACCTAAGTACTCATTTAAACTCAACTATAAAAATAACCACATTAAGTGGAAAGAAAATACTTGTTGCCAATTAAAAGGTAACAATTATTGCCCTGGCCGGTTTGGCTCAGCGGTTAGAGTGTGGTTAGAGTGTCCGCCTGCGGTCCTGAGAGACCCGGGTTTGGTTCCCGCTAAGGGCACGTACCTCGGTTGCAGTTTGTCCCCGGCCCTGGCTGGGTTGTGCGGGTGGCAACTACTCGATGTGTCCCTTTCACGTCGATGTTTCTCTCTCTCTTTCTCTTTCCCTCCCGTTCTATCTGAACAAAATATAAAAAAAAAAAGGTAACAATTATTATTTGTTATAAAGCAAGACCTGACTATATGTTGCCCACAAAAACCCAATTCAAACATAAAAACAAAAATAGGTAAAATGAAGAAAAAAGATCATTCTAATTCTACTCAAAAGAAAGCTGAGTCTGGCTGGTGTGGCTCAGTGGCTGACTGTCAACCCATGCACCAGTTTGATTCCCAGTCAGGACACATGCCCAGATTGTGGGCCCGATCCCCAGTGGGGGGCATGCAGGAGGTGGGCAATCAATGTTCTCTCTCATTGATGTTTCTCTCCCTCTCCCTCTCACGTCCTCTCTCTAAAATCAATAAAGGAAAAATAATTTTAAAAAAAAAGAAAGCTGAAATGGCCCTGGCCAGTTAGCTCAGTAGTTAGCATGTCGACCCATAGAGCAAAGAGTCAAGAGTTTGATTCCGGCCAAGGGCCCGTACCTTGGTTGCGGTTTGCCCCCCCGCCCCGGTCAGGGTCATGCAGGAGGCAGCCAATTGATGTGTGTCTCTCATATTGATGTCTCTCTCTCTCTCTCTCTCTCTCCCCCCCCTCTGCCCCCTCCCAGTCTATCTAAAAATATTTGGAAAAATATCCTTGGGTGAGGATTAAAAAAAAAAAATTTTTTTTAAAGCCGAAATGGCTATGTTAATATCAGACAAAGTAGCTGGGTAAACATTCAAATATCACCTTATACAATTCACCATATTAACCAACTAAATAAGAATAAGAAACAAAATAAGAATATCTCATAGATAACAGAAAGAGTATGTGACAACATTTAACATAAATTCATGAGAGAAACTAAGCAAATTAAGAATAGAAGAAAACTTCATCAACCAATAAAGAGTATCTATGGAAAATCTATAGCTGACATATTTAATGGTGAAATCTGATAAAATCAACAACAGCAAGGCAAAGATCATGACCAAGCATTTATCCCAAGAATAAATGCTCTCATAACTTTTCTTCTAATTTGTTGTGAAGATTCTAGCCAGGGCAATAATAAGGCAAAAAAAATTAATAAAAGGCATACAACCGAAAAGGAAGAAGTAAAACTTTCTTTGTACATAAATTATATGATTTTTTATGCAGAATATCCTAGAGAATCTTTAAAAAGCCACTAGGCTTTAAGAGAGTTTAGCTAGGTAACAAAATAAAATGTAAAATTGGGAATTTTAAATATTAAAATAAGTGGGCTTTTTAAAAATTATTTTCTTTATTGATTTGAAAGAGAGAAGGGAGAGAGAGATAGAAACATCGACTGGCTACCTCCTGCATGCTCCCCGCTGGGGATCCGGCCCACAACCTGGGCATGTACCCTGACAGGGAATCAGACCGGTGACCTCTTGGTGCATGGGTTAATGCTCAACCACTGAACCACACTGGCTGGGCTAAAATAAGTGTTATTTATAATAATATCGAAAACTTAAAATATTTAGGAAATTTTTTTTTTTTTTTTATCCTCACCTGAGGACATTTTTCTATTCTTTTGTTCAGGTAGAGTGGGAGGGAGAGAGAGGAATAGAGAGAGAGAGAGAAACATCGATATGAAAGGAACACATCGAGTGGCTGCCACCCACACGACCAACCAGGGCCGGGGACAAACTGCAACCAAGGTACGTGCCCTTAGCGGGAACCGAACCAGGGTCTCTCTGGACCGCAGGCCGACGCTCTAACCGCTGAGCCAAACTGGCCAGGGCATATTTAGGAAATTTTTAATGAAATATGTAAAAGAGTGAAACACTGAAAACTAAATAACATTACTGAAGAGATCAAAGACCTAAATAGAGAAACCATGTTCATAGACTGGAAGACTCAGTATTGTTAAAAATATCAGATGTCGCCCTGGTCGGTTTTGCTCAGTGGTTAGAGTGTCGGCCTGCGGACCAGAGAGTTCTCGGTTCGGTTCCCACTAGGGGCACGTACCAAAAAAATAAAAAATAAAGTGAAAAAATATATATATCAGATGTCCACATGTTAATCTATAAATCCAATATAATCCAGGAAGTATTTTGTAGAAATTGACATGCCAATTCCTAAAATGTATACAGAAATGCGAAGAACTAGAATAGACAAATCAATTTTGGAAAAAAAGAACAAAGTTGGAGAATATGCATTCTAATCTAATTATTAGGCTTATATCAAGACAGTAAAGTACTGGCATAAAGACAGATCAAAAAAGAAAAAAGATCCAAACTACACTGCAAAAGTGTCAAGGCAATTCAATGCAAAAAATACAATCTTTTAAACAAATGGAATTGAAAATATGGGATATACATTTAAAAAACGTGTGCCTTTTTTTTTTTTTTTTTATCCTCACCCGAGGATATTTTTCCTTTTTTTTTTGTTCAGATAGAGTGGGAGGGAGAGAGAGGAAGGGAGAGAGAGACAGAAACATCGATGTGAAGGGACACATCGAGTGGCTGCCACCCGCACGACCAACCAGGGCCGGGGACAAACTGCAACCGAAGTACATGCCCTTAGTGGGAACCGAACCCGGGTCTCTCCGGACCGCAGGCCGACGCTCTAACCGCTGAGCCAAACCGGCCAGGGCTGCCTTGGTTTTTTTAATGCTTGGTTTTCTTTGACTACATATCCTTGAAAACTTACTTGAAGAGTTCTCAAAGCCTACAAGGAAGATACTTTCCTCCAAAAGAAAATTTGCATTTACTTCTGTTAACTGCCTAGGTTACTACCAGTCTAGAACCGATTTAAACTCATTTCACGGTTTGAGGTTTCTTTGATCACCCATATAATGAGAATTTTGGCAAAAATCCTACATGAAGGATAGCCTATGGTTTATTAATACTCAGTAAAAGTTCTGGGATTTTTTTTTTCCCCTATCTCTTTTCCTTCCCCTTGTTCTGCTCAGTACTAAGCAACTCTCCCTGTAATCTCATGAAAATGGAGAAAAGAGGAAGTAGGGAAGGATTGCAGTTTTACTTTGGGTTCACCCTAACCCAAAGAGTTTACCCCTACAGAGTCCCAGTTTAATGTGGGGAGTGGATATTAAACTTTGGATAATATTGGGAGGACCTGACCTTTGACTACTTTCGTCTTCATTCTATGGGTCATCAAAATTGAAGCTTAAAGCTTCCTGATCAGCAAAGGCCTTCAAAGCAAAAGCACCTTCAAATGCTGATCTTTATTTTCTGGCATTCACCTGCAATTCCTCTCTCTTATTACCTCTTTCATGATTTAGGATATTTTGTTTATATTTTATTCAAATATTGTGGTTATCAGTAGGAAAACTGGTTCAAATAACTTGGCTTGCTGTTAACAGAAACAGAACCCCCACGTTATTATCGTCAATTTGCTGAATGGAATTAATTTTTGAATGAATGAATAAATGACTTTCAAATTAATTAGATAAAGCAAACTCAAATTCATTCATCTGACCTCTCTGAACATCAGTTTCATCATTCACAAAATAAAGAGGCTGAACTAAATTATCTCTATCACTCTTTGCTTTTCTAAAATGCCAGGATTTACGTGTACATATACAATGTCATCTTTCAGCTTTTGGGTTATATCAATTCATTTAATAATTGTGCCAAATTATGTTTCATGTTGCTTACTAACAGGTGCTATTTATGATAATCTGATGGGCAAAGTTTTGTCACAGTGTCATAACTCCAAAATAATGGTAAATGAGACTCACTTTTGATGTAATGGATCCCTTCTCCATCTTCTCAAACCCAAGAGCCAAGACACAATTCGCCATACCTGGAAAGAAAACATAATTATTCTGAAAATTTTAATTTCCAGTCACCCAACAAAATACATTAAATACCTCAATTTAAATAAGTATGTCAGCCCTGGCGGGTTTGGCTCAGTGGTTAGAGTATCGGCCTGCGGTCCTGAGAGACCTGGGTTTGGTTCCCGCTAAGGGCATGTACCTCAGTTTGTCCCCGGCCCTGGTTGGTCATGCGGGTGGCAGCCACTCGATGTGTCCCTTTCACATCGATGTTTCCCTCTCTCTCTCTCTCTCCCTCCCACTCTACCTGAACAAAAAATAGAAAAATGTCCTCGGGTGAGGATAAAAAAAAATAATAATATTAATAAGTATGTCAATTTATATAAAATGAAAAATCATACTATAATCCTATTAAATTTTAATTAGAGAAAATTCTTACATGCTACTAGGTAACAGAAAAAAAATCAAGAAAGTATTTAACTCTTTCTCTTGTCCTCAATATTAATAAAACTTTTGGTTAATTTGGAAATATGTTTCAGTAAACAATAAATATGAATAAGTAATTTTGAATTTTAAAATATTAAATTAAATAAATTTATTTTTAAAAGAATCCTGATTAAAATCTCAACAGAATAATTTTTGGAGGGTGGGTGCACCTAAAAAAATGATGTTAAAGTTCAACTGAACAGCAAAACAAGATGGAATTTGTCTTTAAAAAAAGAAAGAAAAATAACAAGTAGGGAGGATGGGGGACACTAGCATTATGAAAACAGTATAACATTATAAAGCTCCAACAATGGCCCTGACCAGTTTGGCTCAGTGGTAAAAGCATTGGCCTGTGGACCAAAAAGTTGCATGTTTGATTCTAGTCAAGGGCACGTAACTCGGTTACAGTTCGGTCACTGGCATTGGTCAGGGTTGTACGGGAGGCAACCAGTCGATGTGTCTCTCTCACATCAATGTCTCTCTCTCTCTCTCTCTCTCCCTCCCCCCTCCCATTCTAACTGAAGATAAAATGGAAAAATATTCTCTGGTGAGGATTAAAAAAATAATAATAATAAAAATAAAGTTCTAACGATGAAAACACTTGAGTAGTGGAGCAATAATCAATAGTCAATCAGTAGTACAGAATAAAGGACCTAATAAAAAACCCTAGAATATTTGGAAATATAAAATATGATATATTCCCAAGAGAGATGAAAGCCACATAAAAAAATTATACACAAATGTTTATAGCAGTATTATTCATAAGAGCCAAAAAATTAAACAATTCAACGTCTATCAACTGATAAATAGATAAACAAATTGTGGTATATCCATACAGTGGAATCTTTCTTGGCCACAAAAAGGAATGAAGTACAGGTAACATGCCACAACATGAATGAACTATGAAAATATAATGCTAAGTGAAAGCCATAAAAGGCCATGTACTATATGAACCCACTTATATAATGTTCAAAATAGATAAATCCATACATAGAGACAGAAAGTAGATTAGTGGTTGCAAGGAGTTGAGGGTAGGGGAATTGGGGAGTGACTGCTAATGGGTACAGGATTTCTTTTTGGTGTGATGAAAATATTCTAAAATGAGATAGTGGTGATGGTTGCATAAATCTGTGAATACATCAAAAAACACTGAATTATATACTTTAAAGGAGTGAATTTTATGGTATATAAATCATATCTCCATAAAGTTTTTTTTTTTTTTAAGAAATACATTATACAGCCATCCCTCTGATGATTGTGTGGAGAAATGATGAAATGGGGTCAATAACCCCACATCTATTTTTCTGTTGTTGTTAATCCTCACTTGAGGATAGTTTTCCATTGATTTTTTTTTTTTTTAATCTTCACCCGAAGACATTTTTTGATATTTTGTTCAGATAGAGTGGGAGGGAGAGAGAGAGAGAGAGAAACATCAACGTGAAAGGGACGAGTGGTTGCCACCCACACGACCCAACCAGAGCCGGGGACAAACTGCAACCGAGGTACGTGCCCTTAGCAGGAACCGAACCCGGGTCTCTCTGGACCGCAGGCCATTGCTCTAACCACTGTGCCAAACCTGCCAGGGCCATTGATTTTTTTTTTTTTTAGATAGAGTAGAAGGAAGGGAGGGAATGGGAGAAAGGGAGAGAGGGAGAAAGAAGGGGAGAGAGGGGAAGAGAGAGAGAGAAAGAAACATTGATGGGAGACACATCAGTTGGTTGCCTCCCGCAACCCAGGTACATGCCCTTGATCAGAAATTGAACCCGTGACCCTTCAATCCTTGGGCCCACGCTCTAACCACTGAGAAAACTGACCAGGGCAACCCCACATCTATTTAAGTACACTAAACTAATAAGCACTACTCACCACCTTGAATCAGCTGCCGGGCCATAAACAATGCAGTAGAACCAGTAGAACAGTTGTTATTAACATTGATTATAGGAATTCCAGTCAGTCCCAAACTGTGATAAATAGCCCTCTGCCCACAGGTAGAGTCACCTGTATAGAAAAAGTAATTAAAATTTTAATATATGCAGCACGGAAATTGTGGTGCTGCAACACAATATAATACCACATTATGACTTTTCAGTATTATGCCTTTGCCTAGCATATAACATGGACAGAACAATAAACACACTATTAACATCTTACTCAGAAATAGTTTTAGTGTTAAGCATCATTTATTCTGCAAATATAAAAAATTCTCAAAGCACAGAATGTATGTGCACTTTATACAATACAGAGGTAGGAAAATAGAGAAATGACCAAGTAATAGCAAACAATTCAATATGGCCAGGGCTACATGATTACAGAAGCAATATTTCAATTATGCTATTAGATATAAATCTTTAAAACTATACCAGATAATGGAAAAGCCACGATTTCCTCTTTATATAAGGATCCCACAACTTCAAAAAGCTTAAAAGATCCTGAGTGCCAAGGAATTCCAAATAATAGTGATCCAAGCTGAATACACATTTGACTCCCTTTCCCAAGTAATGTGGCTACCAAGGCAGACACGCTGAGCAGTATATGGGAATAGCTAAAGGTACAAACTCTCTAGGAGTCTTCAGGGAAAACAGCAAGGTTCAGAACCTCCTTTTCAATAAATATACTGCATCCATTTGATCTAGTAAATTTCCCTTCAAGAATTCTCTTGATATCTTAAAATTTCAAGAAAATAATCACAGACATGCACAAATATTCATCTACAGTGTTGCTTACTATATAGCCTTTTATAACTAGAATTTAGAAATAATTATTAAATTTTTTATCTACTTATTTTAGAGAGGGGGGTAAAGGAGAGAGAGAGAACAACAACAACAACAACACATCTATTCATTGTTCCACTTATTTATGCATTAATTGGTTGCTTCTTGTATGTGCCCTGACCAGGGATGGAACCCGCAAACTTGGCACATTAGGATGACACTCTAATCAACTGAACCAACTGGCCAGGGCCTTTTTTTTTTTTTATTGATTTTTTATTTTTTTAGAGAGAGAGAAAGGAAGGGAGGAAGGAGGGAGGGAGGGAGAGAGAGAGAAAGAGAGAGGGGAGGGAGGGAGGGAGAGAGAGAGAGAAACATCAATTTATTTTGTTGTTCCAGTTATTTATGCATTCATTGGTTGCTACTTATATGTGCCCTGATGGGGATCAAACCTGCAACCTTGGTATCAGGAGGATGCTCTAACTAATTGAGCTACCTGACCAGGGTAGAAATAATTTTAAATGTCCAAGAACAGGATATCATTACTACTACTAAGTAAACTGTGGTAAATCCCCAAGATGAGAATATCATGCAATCATTAAAAATGCTGAAAAGAGATTGGAACATTCTAAATGTCCATTAAAAGGGGGTAGATTAAATAAATTAAGATATATCTATTCTACAGAACACTATTGTATCATAAGAAAAAGACCAAGGAAGCTCTTTATGATATAATGTGGACTAGTTACCAAGAAATACTAAACAAAAACAAGCAAGTTACAAAATATTGTATGCATTATGCTACTGTGTGTGCAACAAAGGGAAAAGGGGAATTTACACCTCATGAGTACTTGTTTGTATACACATAAATTACCACTAGAGAGATACATTATAAATTAGTAAAACTGGCTGTCCAAGGGAAGGGGACCATGAGACAGGGAGATAGGAATAAAAACGAGACTTTCCACTACATAACCATCCACCTTTTGTACTTTGGTACCATGTAAATATTTTACCTATTCCAGGAAAAAAATGTAATTGCAAAATATTAATAACAGTATTAAAAAAGGCTTAATGGTATGGGAAATACTGACTATAGTAAAATTAGAAAAGCAGGTTACCAAAAAGTAGGTATACTAGGACTTTATTTTCTTTAAGAGAAAATGGTATGTGCATGTGTATTCATATACATTCATACTCACTAAAGGATATACACCAAAAATCAATGGTGATAATTTCTAGATAATGGGATTACAGGTGACTTTTTAATTAAATTTATTGAGTTGACATTGGTTAATAAAATTATATAGGTTTCAAGTGTATAATTCCATAATACATTATCCATATATTGCATTGTGTGGTCACCACCCCAAATCAAATTGGTACATTGATTTTGTATCCTGCAACTTTACTGTATTTGTTGTTTCTAATAGTTGTGTGTGTGTGTGTGTGTGTGTGTGTGTGGAGTTTTTAGGATTTTCTATATAAAGAATCATGTTGTCTGCAAAGCGTGACAATTTTACTTCTTCATTCCCATTTAGATGCCTTTTCTTTCTTTCTCTTGCCTGACTGCTCTAGCTAGAACTTCCAATACTATGTTGAGTAACAGTGGAAGAATGGGCATCCTTGTCATGTTCCTGATCTTAGAGGAAAAGCTATCAGTTTTCCACCACTGAGGGTTTCTCATATATATGGCCTTTATTATGTTGAGGTACTTTCTTTCTATACCCATTTTATTAAGTGTTTTGATCATAAGTGGATGTTGTACCTTGTCAGATGCTTTTTCTGCGTCTATTGATATGATCACATTATTTTTATCCTTTATTCTGTTAATGTGATATATCACATTGCTTGATTTGTACATGTGGAACCATCCTTGTGCCCCTGGAATGAACCCCACTTGATCGTGATGTATTGTCTTTTTAATGTATTGTTGTGTTTGATTTGCTTGAATTTTGTTTAGGATTTTTGAACCTGCATTCATCAGAAATACTGGTCTGTAGTTTTCTTTTTTTGTGTTGTCCTTGCCAGGTTTTGGTATCAGGTAACGTTGGCCTCATAAAATGAGGTAGGAAGTAATGCCTCTTCTTCAATTTTTTGGAAGAGTTTGAAAAGGATAAGTATCTTCTTTGAATGTTTGGTAGAATTTACTACTAAAGCCATATGGTTCTGGACTTTTACTTTTGGGGAGGTTTTTTGAATACTGTTTCAGTTTTCTTACTGTTTGTTGATTGGTTTATTTAGATTTTCTAGTTCTTCCTGATTCAGTCTAGGAAGATATAAATTTCTAAGAACTGATTTCTTCTAGGTTATTGAATTTAGGCATATAATCTTTCATAGTATTTTTTGTATTTCTGTGGTGTCCGTTGTAAATTTTCCTCTTTTGTTTTGTTTGAGTCTTTTCTCTTTTCTCCTTGGTGAGTCTAGCGAGTTTGTCAATTCTATTAATCTTTTCAAAGGACCAGGACTTTGTTGTATTAATTTTTTTATATTTTTTCTCTATTTCACTTAATTCTGCTCTAATTTTTATTATTTCCTTCCGTCTGCTGAAGGGCTTCATTTGCTCTTCTTTTTCTATCTTCAATATGTAATGTTAGGTTGTTTATTAGGGATTTTTCTTGGTTCTTGAGATAGACCTATAATGACATAAAACTTCCCTCTTATTACTACTTTTGCTGTATCCTAAAAGTTTTGATATGTCATACTGTTATTCTCATTTGTCTCAATGTATTTTTTGATATCTTCTTTTATTTCTTCTTTGACCCAGTCATTCTTTAGCAGTATACTGTTTAATCTCCACGTTTGTGGTTTTTCCTGCTTTCTTTTTGCAGCTGATTTCCAATTTCAAAGCATTGTGGTCAGAGAGCATGTTTGGTATGATTTCAATCTTCTTATATTTGTTGAGGCTGGTTTCCTGTCCCAATATATGGTCTATTCTTGAGAATGTTCCATGTGCGCTGGAGAGGAATGTATAATCTGGTGTTCTAGGGTGACAGGCTCTATAAATATTGATTATGTCCTTTTGGTCTAATATGTCATTTAAGGTCGATATTTCCTTGATTTTCTGTTTGGATGATCTATCTACAGTTGACAATGCAGTATTCAGGTCCGCTACTAAAACTGTTTTTTCAGTTTATCCCTTTAGTTGTTAGTAGTTGCTTTATATATTGTGGTGCTCCTCGACTGGGTGCATATATATTGAGAAGTATTGTCTTTTTGATGTATTGACCCCTTTATTATAAAATGTCCATCTTTGTCTCTTGTTACTTTTTTATCTTGAATTCTATTTTGTCAGATAAATACGGCTACACCTGCTTTTCTCTTGATGCCATTTTCTTGCGGTATTATTTTCCACCCTTTCACTTTGCATCTATATTTGTCCTTGCAGCATATGGTTGGGTTTTGTTTTTTGAACCAATCCACTATTCTGTGCCTTTTTATTGGTGAGTTCAGTCCATTTACATTTAGGGTGATTAGTGATGCATAAGGATTTCCTATAGGCATTTTATCTTTTGTTTTCTGAAAGCTCTGTCTCCATTGTTCCTTTTCCCTTGTGTTTCTGGCTGTTATTTAAGTTTGGTGATATTCTATAATTTTTTTCCCCATTTCCCCTTTTTTATATTATGTGTCTCAGTTCTAGATTTTTTTATGTGGTTACCATTAGGTTTATGCAAAAGAAAGTTTCATATGTACAATAGTCCTTTTTCTTCTGAATATACCTTATCTTCATTCCCTTTGCAAATCATTCCCTTGTTCTTGTCGCAAATTATCCCTTTTTATGCTGTGAGTTCATTTCCAAATTGCAGTAGCTACTGTTTTCTCTTTTTTAAACGTGTTTACCTCCTTGAACCTCTATTCATTATATTTAAGTGTGTAACACCCTATTCTGCATAACGGTTGTAATTTCTTGCTCCTGTCTGTTAGTTATCTTACTTATTGTTTTGTATCCTTTTGTATGTTTCAGGTAGAATAACCCCCTTCAGAATTTCCTATAATGCAGGTCTTGTGGTAAATTCCCTCACTTTCTGTATGTCTGGAAAAGTCTTTATTTCTCCTTCATATCCAAAGGATAACTTTGTTGGACATATTATTCTTGGCTGGTAATTTCTCTTTTTCAATAGTTTGAACATTTGGTCCCATTCTCTCTTAGCTTATATAAGTTCTGCTGAAAAATCTGATGATAATCTAATCCCTGGCTGCCTTGAGAATTGTCATTCATTTTTGACAGTTTTAATATAATGTGCCTTTTTGGATTGAGGTAATGAGGTGTTCTGTTTGCTTTTTGTATTT